TTTGTGTATCTGTTCGCATGTGTAAAAGCATCTTCTTGCCCTTTCGGGAACTTTGACCTGGAGCGTGGCCCTGCCCCGGTGCCGCAGCATCATGTGTGTCTACTCGTGACATCCCCTCTCTTTCCTGTGGATTAGCTTCCAGTTGAGGATAAAATCAGGATCATCGCGCAGAAGATCTATGGGGCTGATGACATTGAATTACTCCCCGAAGCTCAACAGAAAGCTGAAGTTTACACAAAACAGGTAGGTGTTTGGTTGATTGGTTTTTTTCAGCTCTTTACAGAGCAGCCCAGGCCTCAGAGCCCCCGAGTTCTCCCTGCCATGCCGGGTGCCCTCTGCCTCACTTCTCTGGGTGACGGTCTTCTCTTCTCCCCTCTGGATAATGAGTTTGCTTAGGTGGTGCAGTCCTTTATCTCCCCAGAGGTGGGATATGAAAAGTGTCAAAAAGCCATCGAGAAACAGGGAGTGTCTTCCTCAAATACGGAGAGCCTGCCTTCAGTTGTGTCCTCACGTCTGCTCCAGATGATCACTTTTAATTGGTTATATAGATGAAAATAAAATACTCACTTTTGGAATATGGTTGTGAGTGCTTACCTCCTTCACCCAACAGTGATTTTTTGTGGGGGCAGGGATCTCGAATACTAAGCTCGAGGTCAGTGAGGTAGAGATGGATGTGAAGGGAATTAGATGTTTCATTGTCTTTTAAGTTTTAAAAATTTTTAATGTTTATTTTTGAGCGAGAGCGAGCGAGCACGCAGGGCAGGGCAGAAAGAGAGGCAGACAGAATTTGAGTCAGGCTTCAGGCTCTGAACTGTGAGCACAGAGCCCCACATGGGGTTTGAACTCGTGAACCACGAGAACGTGACCTGGGCCGAAGTCCTACGCTTAATTGACTGAGCCACCCAGGCGCCCCGGGAATTAGATGTTTTAAATAAGTCGGAGGACCCGTATCATGACAATGCCCAGAGGTGCTTTGTCGTCAGCTTTTCTCTTGCCCTGCCTTGTCCCTTTCTCTGCCCAGGGCTTTGGGAACCTGCCAGTCTGCATGGCCAAGACACACTTGTCCTTGTCTCACGACCCAGAGCGGAAGGGTGTGCCCGCAGGCTTTGTCCTGCCCATCCGCGACATCCGCGCCAGCGTTGGGGCCGGTTTCCTGTACCCCCTGGTGGGGACGGTGAGTGCTGCAGGCAGAGTGGGGGGCTGTTCATCTGGGCTTCTCATCTGGAAGCGATCCCTGAAACTGTGCAGCGAGTGGCAGCTGAGCAGAGTTCACGGCCGAGGAGCAAGCTGGAGTCGGGCCTGTTAGGGTTAATCCCGCCGTGGGTCCTCCTCGTGTCCATTCAAGGATGAAGCCGTGACTTCTTGTGGTGAACGACAGTTCTGTTTCCCAGGGGCAGTGTGACCTCGACGGGATCCAGGACAAGCCTCGTCGATAGCCCTTGACAGTGCTAATGTATAATCACAGCTGACGCTGATTGGGTACCTTTCACAGACAAATTCAGTCCTGCCAACGGTCCTTGGGGGGTAGGGACAGAGGCTCCTACACTCCCTGGTCTCCTCGGCAGGCTTGCAGCTTATGCCTGAAACTCCAGGAATTGGTTGTTTCTGAGTAAAGAATTGCCCCCTTAAAATGCGGATGAAGCCTTTAGAGGTGGAAAATGAGGTTGCTTATTTCCATTTGGAGATGCATTATCAGATGCTTCCTTATCTTACGACTTCATGCATATTAAAGGGGGAGCTTTGCTGACAGAGAGGGAGAGGGGTGCTTAAGGGCACGCTCACAGTGTGCACTGACCTTCCCAGATTAACGCAGATCCTGTGCCTAGGTTTCCCCCTTAGACCCGCCCAGTGGCCTACACCTGCAGCTTGTCCTTACCTGCAGTACAGGATTGAAATGGTAAGCTGAGCCAATTCCCAATGGAAAAGAAACCAATTCTCCTACTGGAGCTGCATTACTTTTTCAGGATAGAAAGAAAGTGGTAGGAGATGGCATTATAGAATCTGAAGTATATAACATTAAAACCACATCCAGTTTTCACTGCTGGTTTTGGCCTTGGGCAAGTTATTAAAAATGTGTACCCTGCTCCACCCAGCCTTCAGCGTGGGGCAAACTGGCGCCCCTTCAGCCACTGCAGAGAGCAGGAAGCTGAGCTGTGTCATGACGTTCTTCAGTCCTTGGGATTTATAGGAATTACCTTTCGAAAGGAATGTTCAACCATTGGCCTGGCAGCTTGACTGTCACAGAAACGGGTGTTATTCTCTCCTGACACACTGTCAGCACTGCCAGCTGGAAGAGCAAGAGCTGCACTGCGTTCACCTTCAACGTGCATGCAGGGGGATGGCTATAGAGAGGAAGGCAAATCAGACAGGTCCAGCCTGAGTTTGCCAGTAGCCTGTCTGCCTCAGGGGGCACATGCCCATTGTCTTCAGCATCACCTCCAGGCTTTTCTGCTAGGTCTGAGGACCGATCCCTTCCTTCCCCCTTCTTGTCCACACACCCAGCAGTTGCCTACAGAGTTCAAGAATAGAGACTGATATCAGATTCCTATAGAATGTTCTGGGAAGTTATAGTTAAGTTGTGGAAGTTCAGCTTAAACTCTTACTGTCTGGATCTGATTTGGAACTTGTACATATGCATTATACAAGGTATTGTTACAGGTGAAAGTGTATAGAGTTGTTACTTAACATGCCTTAAGGATTCGCAGCTAGGTAGTAGTTGTTAAAGCCAGGTCTTTAGAAGAGAAGCAAGTACAAATATAACCTGTAGGCATTATGAACTCTGTTTTAGAAGGCCCAACTGGACCCCTAAGAATAGTGATTGTAAAACTATCTAGATTTTGTACAGAAATGTCTTGGCACAAGTTAAAGGATACTAATTCCTCATGTGCTGCTGAAGCAAAATAATATGGGCATCAACATAAGACCTACTAAAATAAATTAAAACAAAATTAAAAAGGCAAACCCTACACCTCCCTTTGGTCTTGTGAGGGCTGAGGAGGGGGGAGGTGACTCTTCAGCCCGCCCTCCACCTGCCTTAGGAAATGAAGGTGGAAGTCCCTCCTTGCTACTTCTTATTGCAATGGTCAGTGTGGAAGACGGTAGTGAAGCCTGGCGTTGGCTTGCCGGAGACACAGTGGTCTCTGTGAGGCCGTAGCAGGATCAGTGACTTGGTGTGTAACAAGAAGAGCGCCCCCTTTATTCACAACTGTAAAATAATACTCTATCTTTGTGCCTTGGGCTTTTTATCTAAAGGGAAGGTAGAAACGAAGATCACTTTATTTTTAATGCTATTTCACATTTCCTAGATGAGCACAATGCCCGGACTCCCCACCCGGCCCTGTTTCTATGATATCGATTTGGACCCAGAAACCGAACAGGTGAATGGGTTGTTCTAAACAGGTAAGTTGTTATTGGTGAGAGTTTTGCTTTTTTCCCTTACGAGGCATATTTGTGAATTACGGGACTCCAGCTAATGCTCTGAAAATGCATATTATAATGCTTTCAAAATGTCTGTCTCCAAACATCCAACACATTTTTGGAAAAGGAGCATGGTTTGTCAAGGGGCAGTGTAGGGGAGAAAGCCACTGTGTCGTGAGCTCTAGAGGAACTGGCGCAGAAGCTGGGTTCCGAGTCATTGGCACCCTGGAGAACAGGCACCACTGGGGGCCTGGGTACTCTGAGTAGATGGTGGGCAGGAGTTAAGTAAAGTCCCAGAACGTAGAAAAGAAGAGGAAACAGTCCAGGATTTCTTGGGGTCTTAAGTAAAAGGCTCCCAGACACTCATCATGATGAATGAGCCTTCCTTAGACACATCTGGTTTAAATTTCAAAAACATCAAAGATGTAAACCTAAAAAGCTTTCTCCAGGAAAGAAGAAATGGTGTGTCAGTGAGAAAATGGGAATTAGACTAGAATTAGCATTCACTTGTGTTCTTATCAGCAGTAATGGGCTTTTCGACAATGGAGGAATAGCCTCCACGTTTACCGGGAAAGCTGACTTCCCACCTGCACTTAACACCCCACCAGATCTATCCCAGTGTTTTCAGAGAAGTGCAGGTTTGCCATCCCACCTCCCTTCCTAGGAAGCTATTTAGCTGTGTACTCCAGCAAAACGGGGAATAAACCAAGAAAACGGAAGACCTGGTTTTCAGGAAACCGAGTCCCGATCTGGGCAGTTATGAAGGGGAATCCTGACAGCTGCAAGTGACCTAGATTTACAAGTCTAGGAATTGAGGAACGCTAACTAGAAGGAGCCAAAGACAAGGGTGTCAGGGTAATAATGCAGAACGAAAGCTCTCACACTGTTTAAGAGAGTCAAGGTCCAGGTGATGGCAAAGTGTAGTCCTCTTCTCAGCAGCTGCAAGGATGGGTGCTCCTACAGAGGGAGAAGAGACGGTGTGCTTGTGTGACACTGGAAATGTCCCCCCGGCTCACGCCTGGCCCGGCCCTGAACAGTGTTCACATAGCCATAGTGGAAGTGCCACGCGTTGTGTTCAGGTCCGTGGGCAAACCCTACTCTACCAGAGTTCGGTGTGGACAGGATGGAAACGTTAACAACTTTGGCAGCTCTAGAGGAGAATGCTGGGGCGGGGGTTGCAGCTCATAGAAACGTTTACTTCTTGTGTCCTTTCCCTTCTAGATTGCTCCTCTTCGAGAAGCTGCTCTGAATGTCTGGCCAGTGTCTATTCAGGCCGACTATTGGTTAGGAAGTGTGGGGAAGGTGGAGAGGAGTCAGCCCCTGCCCTGAAGATCTTCTAAAAGAAAGAGCAGGAGTTTACCCAGGAACCTTTCTTCAGTCTTAATTCCCACCACGATGTATAAATTAACATAAATCATGCACAATTCTGCTTACTTGATTGAAGTTCCACCGAATAAAAGGAAATGATTTTGTGATCTGGATGTTTAAATATGAATTGTAGCCACACAGACTGTGCTGCAGTATCGCTGCCGTCCTGGGGGAGCCCCTTTGCCAGCAGGCCCCCCCGGGACTGAAGAAGCAAGTTGCAAGACATTCTTTATTGACACTGTTGTGTCCCAAGGGGTAAATGATGCATGCTTGCAGATTTTTGAGGGGACATAATCGGGACACCTCCTGAGAAGGTGGAGTGGGAAGTAGGGTATAGAGAATGTGCCTTTTTAATCACATACCTTTCCATATTGTTCCTTGAAAACAAACAGATCTGAGAAAGTGCTTATCCACTTCTGTGAGGGGGTCGCATTTCTGGTACAGCTTTAGCACCATTTATTTTTAAGTCCTCACAAAGGATGGTCATAACGCCCTGACTACAGGTCCATCCTGTCTGCTCTGTTGGTTCAGCAAATGTTCATTGAGCTTATGTGCTCCTGTGCCTGGGCTCTCTCCCTCCCTCCGGAATGTTTTCCCTGAAATGTTTCCCTCCTTTTCTTGCTTATCTTCTGTCTCTGTTCTTCCTTTCCTGTTTTCCCTTCCCTCTTCTCCCTTATCTTTCTGCGTTGGATCCTTCCAGAAGATGTTGTATCACCATTGATGCCTATGTAAACACTGCTGGCATTGGCAGAGCAGTATTTTTCCTGGTGTCTTTGGTTTTCTTACATTTAACTCCCTAGGTTCACGTCGGCATTGTAATATAGTCAGTTTTGCCATCCAAAGAATTGATGGTGGTGCTTTGGGGACATATGGTAAAGGGGTCATGAGTGCAGAGCCCCATGCTTTGTGCTGTTCCTGGCACGTTGTACACAATGATGTTGTCAGTTCCTGTTCCAAAGCGTCATTTGGGCCCTCTCTGCACAGAGTTCACTGTTTTTGATGTCTTTTTTTAATGTCCTCTGAGACCTCATCTGGAATGGGACTTGCCAGGAATTCATTCTGTAAATAAGGGAAGGAAGCAGGCTATTTATTGTTAGACATTGGTGACTCAAAGATCATCTTAAAAGATTTAGGTTTCCCCATATCACCAAAAGCCAGATGGGTTTATATCCTTAATATTGGTAAGAATAGTGAACACGATTGGTGGGAGAGGGTGAGTAGAGGTGTAGAAGCCAAAGTTGGTAAACAAAACCCTAATGTAATTAGTCCAAATTATTTCTACCAGATATTTAGAATGAATGGACAGTCACTAATGCAAGAATTTTCCTAAGAGGGAGTAAAATACGTCTTCAGTAAAAATTCAAATGGTACAACTTGCTTTTTCCACCTGCCATTATATCTTGGAGATCTTACTATGTCAGCAGTTTGAGATACACCTTGTTTTTTACGGCTGTGTAGTATTTCCACAGTCCTCTATTGTTGGACACTTCCCATCATTTTTGGTTATTGCTATCAAAAATCAGAGAGCAGTGAATTTGCTCTTATGTATCTGTGAGGTTTGCAGAGAACCACGTGTTGGGTAAATTGTTAGCAATGGAATTGCTCAAAAGTGACCTCTAGCTTCAAAATGGGAGCTGACCTTTGGGTAGAAATGTGTAGAGAGAAGTTTTAACAGACCATATTTATAAATTAGGTTTGTATCTCCATTTTACAGAAAGGCAAACTTCATAATTGCCGTACTTGCTGCCTGCCAGATAGTCTTGGTAAAGTCCTCTGACTCAAGCCTCTGCTCTTAACTATCATTCTGCTGCTCATCAGAGCTATTCCTGGAAGGCAGCCCCTGCCACGTGGTACAGAAGTAGACTTCCCATTTGTGACAGGTGGAAAGCTATGCCCATTTCACTTCCCTCTTGAAGGAAGGGATGATGAAAGGTGGAAGAAGCAGAGGGAAGAAATAAAGAGGTCAGGAAGGCTGCTGAGCAATTATTAACAGCATGGGGGTTTGTGCCATTGATTCTTCAGTCTGGTTAAGTGTGATGCAGAGGGGCGCCTGGCTGGCTTAGTTAGTGGAGCATGTGACTCTCGGTCTCCAGGCCGTGAGGTTGGGCCCCACGTTGGGAGTAAAGATTGCTTAAATTTAAAAAAAAATTTGTTTTTGGTGCGCCTGGGTGGCTTAGTCGGTTAAGCGTCCGACTTTCGCTTAGGTCATGATCTCGCGGTTCGTGGGTTCGAGCCCCGCGTCGGGCTCTGTGCTGACTGCCAGCTCGGAGCCTGGAGCCTGTTTCAGTCTGTGACTCCCTCTCACTCTGACCCTCCCCTGTTCACGCTGTCTCTCTCTCTCCTAGAAATAAATAAAACATTAAAAAAAAAATTTGTTTTTAAAGGATAAATAACTGCAGGCTAATTGAAGACCTAAATTCAAGACCTACAGAAGCATTAGTGCTCTGGGTACATATTAGTACGTTTTGCCAGACAAAGTCTGATGTCTTTACCTTGAAGCGAAGAGCCCTTTCAGATCACTGGCCTCCCTGTTTCCATTTTTTTTTTTTTAAGTATTTTTATTTATTTCTAGGAGAGAGAGAGAGAGACAGCATGAGCAGGGAAGGGTCAGAAAGAGAGGGAGACACAGAATCTGAAATAGACTCCAGGCTCTGAGCTGGCTGTCAGCACAGAGCCCGACGCGGGGCTCGAACCCACGAACCGCGAGATCATGACCTAAGCGAAAGTCGGACACTTAACCGACTAAGCCACCCAGGTGCCCCTCCCTGTTTCCATTCTTAACCCTTCTCTGGGCCACTAGTGCTTTCCCTCCCCATATTTGTAATGTTACTGATGAACAGATTGGACCTTCGATATTCTCTACTTCAGAGGCTGTTGCCATGCACTGAAGATCTACATAACACTCTTAGTTCAGAAGAGGCAGCAATGTGCTATCAAGTAAAGCAGATTACAACAGAACTGCCGTTGAGTTTGCATTCACTGGTACAACCTGATGGTGCCCAGAAACCGATAAAAATACCAGAGAACGTGAGCTACAGGTTCGTTTAATGGTGTACCAGGAAAGGGTGCGGTGGGCTGATTCCCAGAAGGCCTCCAAAATTTTTGTAAGAATTAACTCCTAAAGAGTTCTAAACCATTTTTTGGTAGCTACATGCCCAGGCCATGGGTGGGTGAGGGCCAGGATGGGAGAAATGGTATGATCAGATAAAGGATGAATTCAGATAAACATGCAAGCTATTCTATTGGCACACTATGTCTGGTGATATTAACAAGATAAGCTGTAGGTAGGATAATTTCTCCTCAGATTGGAGAAATATATTTATAGCCTGTTTCTCATTATATAATGAAAAGCTACTAATGGAGTAGCAGACAACGATACGGGTGATAGCTTACCAACTGTCACTTAAGTGAGTTCAGGGATGACAGGTTTCTTTCATGCATGAAGTACTGAATACATTTCTTAAAACTCAAATATGGCATCAATTTCTAGGCATATCCTAAAGAAAAACCACAGTGCAGTATTTTATTTATAGCACTATATTCTTTGTGTGTGTGTGCGCGTGCACGCCTTTGTGCATGTGGTAGAGGTTGGGGATGAGTTACTTGAAATACACCTTAAAGAAATCTTTCCTTCAAATACAAAACCAATTTACCTCAGCCTCTTACCAGTTCCCTTCCACTGGCCTTTTTTTTCCCCCCAAGACTAGCAATTAGAATAAGATCTACAAGTCATTGAGGTGGCCTTTATTGTTTTTAACCTGTCCCTTGTGTTATTTCCAACTCCTACCTAATAAGGCCGCTCTTCTACCCTATCTTCGTCTGGATAAGCTCATCTTATTTCTGCCTGAAATTGTTGTAAATGCCCATGTCTAGTAGATTTGGGAAAACTTGGATCTCAGTGACTAATAGCATCTCAGTTTATGAGTGGCAGGAATTTCTTTTGGCTTGTTTGAAGTTCAAAGGTGTCAGCGAGCTTAGCAACCCATCTGGGGACATCAATGGCATCTTCACAGGCTGCTGTTGGCTGTCTGCACAAGGATAAACTGAATTCTTAATTACCACTGAAGTGGATGCTTATAGATTTTCCTGTTTTACAGCTTGTCTCTAACTTTACCTGTAAATTTAAGACCATGACAACTTAAGATTTGGTTTTGCAGTTGTGACCTAATGGTACTTTCTTAAGTCTCAGTGAGGGCTACAGAATCTCACAAAGGTAAAATATTCCTGGAAAAACATCCAAAAGCAGATAACATTACTTTCCCTGAAGATCAGGATCCTATCAAAGAATGGAGGTAAGTACAACCGCTTTTCAGTAATTCTTGGCTCCCGCCTTAATAGGTTCTTCATGTGGATGGTGTCCCGGGGAGGGCCCCAGAGGAGCCCAGAACTGCAACCCGAAAGGACCTCACTGCTGGAACTCCCAGGAATGCTCTGGTAGGTGCCGGTAATCCTGAAGCATGTCACCTAAGCCCTCAGAGCAACACCTCTCCTTGGTTAATGAAACCGATGCGCTAAGTGTACTAATTTGAGGTGCGTTTCACTACGCTAGCAACTGCTTTAGAGAAAGATCCAGAACATGTATGAAAATACACAACGCAGTCGTCCAGTCAGGAAGGAGGGGAGATGGAGCCTGTGCCCTTTGCTCTGATTGAGACTGGAATCCCGAGAAAAGCCATCTCCTGATCCCCACTCCCGCTTAATCGAGAGGGACAAGATTAAGCAGACATTGGAAACACATGGGTTCCTATGCCCTTCTGACCTCCTCCGCACACAGATTGCATCGCTCCTACCTGCGCCCCTGGACTAGGGAGATTACTGTGTGTCTAGGTCTTGGGCCTGAGAGTCCATTTGGCAGTGAACCATAATAACACCGTTACACCCAAAGCCACTGCTAGGAAAGTTGGTTTGCTTCCATTTGTATTTTGTTTGTTTCCATTCATATATGTAATTTTCTCTCCAAACGAGCTCTCCCTCTGCAGTTTTGAATCCTACGTGGTATCGGCCGTGACTTTAAATATTTGGTGTGTTTGGGGGGCTTCAATGGGACTGCCAATAATTTAAAACCTGATTTTGCTACTTTGCGTCTCAGGAAATGCGGAGCTCATTCCCCCTGTCGCCACCCCATCTGCCAGCCCTCCCTTCGGGTGGTCCCCCGCCCCTGTCCAGACGTGGTAGCGCGGCGGGGACTCGCGCGGGGGCTGGAAGCGCCGGGTGCGCTCCCACGCGGCGGGGGCAGCGGCTCGCAGGCCGCGCCCCCGCCCCCCGCCGCCGGCCCTGGCCCCGCCCCGCGCCCGCCCACCCGGCGCGCATTGGTGCCGCGGGCTGTCGCTCCCCGCTCTCTGGGGAGGGGGCGCCGCGGGCTGCGGTCCCACTGCAGAGGGTTGTTCTCTGCGCGTGCGACCGGGGCTTCCCGGCTTCCCGGCTTCCTGGACGCCGGGCCTCGCGAGCCGCCCCCTGACCTCGGCGGCAGGGTCGCCGGGGACCCTCGCGCCCTCGGTAAGTGAGGGACGGCGAGGCGGTGGCAGGGAAGGGAGTGGGGGCCGGGGTCAGGTCCTCTGGCCGCCTGCGCGGCGGGGTGGGCGCCCGCAACCCGGGTCCCCGAGGTGACCAGGGTAAGAACCGGGAGAGGGTCGTTCGTCAGGCGGACGCGCCAGCCGGCGCCAGCCGGGTCAGCTGTGCCCACCTACCCTCTTCGCGGTACAGCTCGTCCTGGCAGCCGGGGTTGCGGGGACCGCTTTTCCTTCGTGACCCTCATTTGAGGGAGATGTGATTTGGGGTCCGTGGCCATCATAATTGTGCAGAGAGCCTGAAGCTGGGCTCTCTGCTCCACGCCCCCGGCACTTTCCTTTTTGAGTACTTTATCGTGCGCTCCAGCACCTGCCGCGGGCGCGTCCGGCCGCGACGAGACGCCTTCCTCCCGGGGGCAGCCTGGCGGTCCGCATCTGGCCCTGGGAGAGACTCGCAGCTTTCCTCGCGAAGCGCTTGCCCTCTTCCTCCGTGCTTCTCTGCTCAAGGAGAAAAGTGGCGTTAGACTTGCAGTTCTGTCAGGAAATGACAGCGGGGACTTTACGATTACTGCGGCGATAAAAGTACCCTGCTGGCGAAGGAGGAATCATCTGCAGAGTAACATTCTTCAAAGTTGTAATGTCTACAGATTGCATTTTCCCCCATTTCAGTTAGGTTTTGGAGAACTTGTTGTTGTTTTTTAATATATATATTTTTTAGTTTATTTCTAGGAGAGAGAGAGGGAGACAGACTGAAACAGGCTCCAGGCTCTGAGCTGGCAGTCAGCACAGAGCCCGACGCGGGGCTCGAACCCACGAACCGCGAGATCGGACCTAAGCGAAAGTCGGACGTTTAACCGACTAAGCCACCCAGGCGCCCCGAATTTGTTTTATTTCTACCGTGATATCCATTCAAGTGAGCTTCTCAGGCAGTTAGTTGTCTTTGGGCAATCCAGGGCAAGTTCAAATCATTACCGTCTTAAACATGGTCCAATTTCAGTGTTTCTATTAGTTATACATCCTCTGGTTGGTGAGCACTCTCAGGTGCTGAGAACTCCAGGGCATGGGAAGACAGAGAGAGCTGTTATCAGCTGTGGTTCTAGGGCTGTGGAAGCATCATGCGAGGAGGCACACTGTACAATGTTCATGTTTTAGTTCCATCGCTGTTCTAGGTTGACCTTGTCTTTCTGTTAGGGGCATGGAGTATGTACCTCCAACCTAAGGGAATACTTATATCATAAACTGATTTGCAGAGTTCCAGTTCGTTTTGTGGTTCAGAGAATCAAGAGCTGCCCAAATAAACCTGCAACACTGAAGGATTTACGTAAAAATAGTACAAAGAAAGAGTCCCTTTGCTTATTTTAGGACACCCATCAACAAAAATTCATATGTTTGTTAAGATCCTCCCCTCACATCTGTGGTCATTTGGTGTTGTCATGCTGGTCTGTGGATTAATTTTATATTTATGTATAACTAATCAGTTTGCCAATCACATAGCTTAGCAATTATCTTTGGCTCTCTGATTAGTTCCAGAACCAAGAAAACAAAATATAAGGAATTTCAGAAGCTTGATTTTAAAATAACAAGAACTCAGGGGCGCCTGGGTGGCTCAGTCGGTTAAGCGTCCGACTTCAGCTCAGGTCATGATCTCACGGTTTGTGGGTTTGAGCCTTGTGTCAGGCTCTGTGCTGACAGCTTGCTCCGAGCCTGGAGCCTGTTTCAGAGTCTGTGTCCCCCTCTCTCTCTGCCCCTCCCCTGCTCATGTTGTCTATCTCTCTCCCTCAGAAATAAATAAAACATTTTAAAAAATAATTAAAAAATAAAATAACAAGAACCCAGCCTAGTCTTGGTTCAATTATGAGTTCATGGGCTGCATTATGGTTAAACAACTGTTAAGCAATTAAAACATTTTTGACTAGTGAATCTAGGAATCTAGTGCAGATTAGTATCTCCAAATGATTCATTTTCATGATAAAACTCTATTGCTCACTTTCAGAGCATGGCCTTCAGAAACAGGCAATCTTCGGTTGAATCCAGTCTCTGTTACCTCCTAGCTGTGTAATATCGGGCAAGTTGCTTAACTCTCTTGTGCCTCAGTTTCTTCCTCTGTAGGTAGTGATACCAGCGCCTACCCACTTTGTAATGTTGGGGGGAAGACTAGAGATGTATGTAAAAGTGCTTAGCCTTACCTAATGCACAGATGCTGCTCAACAAATGTTAATTTTTATTATCATTCACTCTTACTGACCTTTGACTATATGGTCATTATGGAAAACTTTTGAACAGTAGATACTAAGGGGAAAAAATGTCAAAATTATACAACTAAATTTAAGAGTGGAGAGTGACGGTGATGTTAAATTTTCCAAAAGTATGTATGAAAAGTAGCACCTCCCTGATGGAGCATACATTTTTAGAACAGAAACCTTATGGTAGAATGGAAAGAACATTGGAGAGGCAAAGTCTTCGGTTCTCACTCCAGCAATGACCTTATCTAACTGTATGGCTTTCAGCAGTCCAACCACCCACTCTGGAGCTCAATTTCTTCATCTGGCTGGACTTGAAAAATCTCTAAGATCCTTTGCAGCTGCAGAGTTATTTATTGCATGTAATAAAAATGACCCTAGCTTGCTTATCACCTTGCCTTTCATTGTTTTGTTAATGTTGTTTGTTTGTTAACTTGGAATTGAGTCATAAACATTCATTAAGACAGCACACTGCAAGAATTTATATCAGATTTGCAAATAATACAAGATGACGTTTTAACAGAGTAGAGAAAAATAAATTCACATGGAAATGTTTTTGATATTTCAATTCTCCAGTTATTTCAGTAAGTTCTTATATGGGAAACATGCCTGGTAGAATCATATACATTCAACAGAAATCTAGGAAATTGTTTTCCTAGAAAACAATAGGCTGATGGTGAAATAAAATGCCACTCTCTTTTCTCTCATCAGGTTGATCCTTAAGTAAAATAAAAATCTATCCCATAAAGGGCTTTCATGAAGAAATTAAAGAGAGAAATTACAAGTAATAGAGATACTAGGAATTGTATGCTGGAGAAACCACCTAAAATTACCGTATGGAGTAAGACAAAAGGAGTGAATACATCCGGAAGAAATTTTACTTCGTATGATACTTTTGCCATTTTTCTGTCATAAAGGCTGCTAAGGAAGAAAGAATATAGTTTTCTAGAGAAAGAACGAGTGTAATGTAAAAATGGAAGCTGCAGTTTCTGAAATTCAAGTCGAAAACAAGGATGAGAAGAGACCAACGGAAGTTAGTCCTCAAGATGAGCGGCAGGAGGAAAAAGCATCAATGCTTTGCTTCAAGAGAAGAAGGAAAGCAGCCAAAGAAATGAAGCCCAAAGCTACCTCTAAAGCTGCTGATGCAGCAAGAATGTGTCCCCCAGAAGCAGGAGCTTCTGATCAGCCACAGCCCCCCAGGGGGACCTGGGCCTCAATCAAACGTCTTGTAACACACAGGAAAAGATCAGCATCTTCAAAACATCAGAAGCCCTTTGAGGCTCAAGTGCAACCTGAAATCAGTGCTGAGGATGCTGATCTTTCTAAGAAAAAGGCAAAATCCAGACTTAAGATTCCCTGCATAAAATTCTCAAAAGGAGAGAAAAGAAGTAATCATTCCAAAATTATAGAAGACTCTGACTGCAGCCTCCGGGTCCAGGGAGAGGCTGAACGTTTGGGTACAGAAGCTCCAACCCAATCCCAGGCAGCCACGCCCAAGTTGCCCCAGGACGTGAGTAAAGATGTCTCAGAGAAAGGGGGCGATGAGGTCTGTGAGCCAAATGCGAGCAACCGCACAACTGCACCTGGGGAAAAAGTGATTGCCGTGGAACTTGGGTCAGACACGGGGCATTCTGCCATCCACACGGGAACTCTGGTCCTTGAAAGAGATACTGAAACGACAGAGGAAAAGCAAAGTGTTCAACCCCAGCCGGCAGGCCCGCTTGAAACTTCAGAAACACAACATCAACTACCCGAGGTTTCAGATGTTCCTCTGTCACCTGCAACCCCCGCTCAGCAAATCGTGGAAGAGGCCAAAACCAATATCCTAGAAAGTGGACCAAATCAGGAACAGCCTGAAAGTAGAGAGATTGTTGCTAAAGGGAGTGAGCCAAAAGATACTGACCTGAGCCAGGAATCAGAGCTTAGAGGAAATGAGGTCACTGCAGAGAAACCAAAACCAGAAGAAAGCAAAAGAATGGAGCCGATTGCTATTATTATTACAGACACTGAAATCAGCGAATTTGATGTTAAGAAATCTAAAAACGTCCCTAAGCAATTCTTAATTTCAATTGAAAATGAGCAAATAGGGGTTTTTGCTAACGATAGTGGTTTTGAGGGCAGAACTTCAGAACAATATGAAACCCTCTTAAAAGAAACGGCTTCTTCTCTTGTCAGAAATGCTATCCAATTGTCTATAGAACAGCTGGTTAATGAAATGGGCTCTGATGATAATAAAATAAACAATCTTCTGCAGTGACTTAATTTCCAGATCATGGGAGGAAAAAAAAAGCTTAATGCTGAATTATTTTACATATTTGTGGCATTTCTTACTCAGTAACAAATGAGAGATTTATTATCTGTGGAATTTAAAGGTACAGCTTCAATTCAGAAGTGCTAAAGAATTAAGTTCATAAAACCCTTCCTCCCCCTGAGATGTAGTCACTTCTGGATGAGAGGAAGCCCGTACAGATTGCAGTGCACAGTGACACACAGGGAGTTGTGAAAATGACATGTGGAGATTGGGCTGCTTGGGGAAGGAAGCTGTATTAATTGAGCGCTTATGGTATGACATAAACTCTTTTCTGTTCTCTGATGTCATAAAGCCTGGTTTCCCTTTGACAGTTCGATCCTGTGTATAGGTAAACATCACATTCGATTTTCAAACCTTTTCTTTTCCCCCACAGTGCACTTTGATGTTTAAAATGGTGAATAAGGTGAGCTGTTTTGGTGAATGTGTGATTTATAATTGTTATACACTCATAGGCAGTAGTCTTACCTCAAAAAATATGGCCTTTTCCCAATTTCAGCAGAATGTGCATATTTGAATTAAACATGAGTGTTTTTCTAGTCATGCTTAAATACTGTACAAAAGCCATTCACAATTTACTTCAAACAGACAGATAATTACCAAGTGCAAGGGCGTAGACACAGGCAGGGCATTCTCTCTCTCCGTCTCCTGCCTCCAGCAGACCTGTATAAAGCCATTTCTGCATGGGGTCGTCGTCTACTGAAATGTTTAGAAACAAACAAAACCCAAAAAGCTAAACAAGAGCAACAGCAAAAACAAAAAGAGCGAGATCATTGTTTTCCATCCAGGGGAAGGTGAACTGCCCCAGGAACAAATTCTCTCAGAGAACGTAGGATTCATCTTGCAAGATTGCTTCTCTGGAGACCATATCCATCAACCCCTCCTCAAAGAGGGAATGTGAATTCAAAGCCAGCCTGGCAGTAAAGGTACTAGGAAATCATAATAACCTAGTGAAAATATTATTCATTCTTGACCAAGGATGAGCCAAGTACATAGTTGAATAGAAAGTGAAAAGTTATCACTAAAGCACATTGTATTTTAAATGTCACTGTTCTCTCATTGTGCCCATGTGTCGAGATAACCAGTAACAAACATTTTACATGGATTTTGAAAAATAACTTTTTCATCAGTATTTTCAGTCCAACTAATCCCTTACCAAAAAAAAAAAAAAAAACAACACAACGAACTTAATGTAACAATAACAAGGGCTTATTTGCATTTTATTCAGTTATTTAAATCACCTATCTCATTAATGATTGCCGTATTTTTTGAAAAAGTAATTCCATTTCAATCTTCCCTTGTGTCGAATGGCCATAATACTACGATGCACTTCCCTACCTCACAGGTAAAGGTTCAAACTGTAGAGTCCCCCACTAAGTGACAGCATTACTCTGAAAATGGATGAAGTATGAAGAACTTACCATTTGCAATTGAGTCAGTAAGGTATTTGTTAAGGAATATTTGTACATTCTTGGGGAAATGAGTGTATATTGGCTGATTGGAAATGATCTAGGTGACTTCCAGCATTACTGTGTATAGAAAGTATGTGCTTATTTGTCCTATAGAACCTTCTTTGTTTCTTGCTTTGAGTCCGTCTTGAGTCCTCTGGCAGAAAAACCTAATCTGACTCTGGAACTGAACCACATAATGGATACTATTAGCAAGATTCTTTCCTGAGGTGCAAAATCATCCCCCCAGACTTTCCTACCTTCATGCCTATAACCTTGGGAGCAGAAACCCACAAAAATCCTTCAATTTAGCAACATGAAAGTGGATTTTTAAAACACATGACCCAAGAATGAATTTCTTTAGTATACAAGTTTTAAGCATTTAAAACAGACTGCTAAGTCATTCTCCCTAAAACTACCCTTTTTCATTCACTCTGTGTGGTGCTAATGGACTTGGATGGCTACCAGCTACCAGCAAATATCAGAACACATTTAAAAGTGAACAATTGTTAAAAACCTGATCAAAGTCGGTGCATTTTAACAGTGTTTTGAAGAATCCTGTCTTCATTTACCACAAGAATGGCTCAAGCCCATATGCTTGCACTGTAAACTTTTTAGTAATCTCTCATGAATGAGCACAGAACACAGCACTCATCAGTGGTTGAAAATAGGAAGGTTTAGGCATATTTATTTGGGAGTTTGAAAAAAAGATGCAAGATAAATATGTGTAATTATTTTTGTTAAAATAACACTTTCTCTAGTCCTAGGTTTCTCCTTTTTTTTTTCCCACTATGGTTTAATATATATTTTTGGTTAGATGTATTATAATTGAGTGTTTCTGTGGTAAGATGTGTACTCTACTTGCATTCATCTTAAGTGATTTTTCCTTAATCTTTCCTATTCAGAATATCTGGTGAGTTAAATCAGTAGGATTCCAGTTTGAAAAAGGAATCCAGAAATTAATTGGTCTCCATCTGAATATACCTGCCACATGCCCAAATCCTATTAAATGAATTCAAAGGTGATCCAAACTGTATTGTTGTAGAAACAAGCAGGAATCAGATAACTTGGAAGTCTCTTATAAAATATGTTTCATTTCAATAGTATGTATTTTAAGCAATTCGACCTTATACACCAGACATTAAATAAATTTAAGTAGGTTCTTTTCGATTCATATCCATTTGACGTGATTAAAACAATCATTTAAAAGGCAGTTCAGTAACACTACATTAGTTTTCACTTAAATTTGCTGTGTAATCTTGCTTTTACTGAGCATTTATTAATTGGTTGGGATTCAGTTTCTCTTTGAGCTTAAGATTTTACAAGGTGGATTGGTTTACTGGATGCTTGTTAATTTCTTCATCATATTATATTCCCCCTTGTAAGAGTCAAGTATTATTCACTTTGCTTTACAACCCAGCGAATATGAAAACCCTCTTCTATTTTCTGTAGCACTATTCACTTAACATTTTCTCAAAGTACTTTATAGGATATAAAAATAGTACTGGGTAACATCTAAGTAAAGGCAGCAGAAAACAAAAGAACTTTCAAACAGAAATTATGTTCCCTGCTACCTCCTCCACCTCAAAGAATAATAAGCATGTGGCACAAATGGAGTTCTTCAGAAAAGCTGTCTGCATAATTTTCTTTCAAGGTAATGCATTTGACAGCATGAAGTTTGTGACGATCTTAATGGGTCTCGTATTTAGTGGAGACTAAGAAACTTTGATTTATTTCTGAGAGATTATCTAATTTCTTACTGCTAAAGGCCATTTAGTCATGGGAGGGCACCGGCCAAGTGGGCTTCTGCCTACAATCCAGACTTAACTTCATAAATGTTTAACTTCCAGTTGCCTTATTTTTTATAGTTATGAGTTAATTTGTGGGGGTGGGGGGTTTACAGCAGAATTTTTAAAATAATTGTTAGGCTTTAGAGTCCCATTGTTTGGAAAGATCCTTTTAATCTCAACTTTATTTAGATATGTAAAGTCTTTCTAATTTCATCTGATACTCAATACATCAGGGTTGACTTTTCTGCCTCCCATTTCTGCATTTTTTTAAAGTCCTCTTTTTCAGTTTCAGGCTCTTTAGGTTCAAATTCCTATGATGTCTTATCGTGTAACATCAAGTTTCTTATACAGAATTCAAAATTGCAGTCAATAGTACATTTTATGATACATTTTTGAAAAAAAGTTCTTGCGATCCTTATTTAGTTACAAAAATTAAACAGAAGGAAGCTACAGGAAATTTAGATGTCCTGATTAAATTCAGTTTGGTTCAACATGTGTTGGGTATAACATATGCCCAACACTGTTTGGTGAAGAAGACGGGCTCCCAGCCCTCCAAGAGCTCAAGCCAGGCAAACAGCACCCACAGGAACTGGGGCAGGGATTAAGGCAAAGGGTCACAGGCAGTGCAGCTTCATGGGTGACGTAGAGGGGAGAATAAAGAGACACTGGTTCATTTGTCCAGTGTGGGGAGGTCATCATCTAAATACAGGGACAGTTTGAAAAGCATTCAGTTTCTAAATAGTTACACAGTTATATTCATTATGATTTGTGAACAGGTGCAGAAAAAAGCCTGCATAATGTTACATATTTATAGTAGTTCTTTGTCTGTAAAAAATGTTAAGTGGATGAGCTATTATGAAAGTAAAAATTCCATTTTGTATTTCCTATTAAAATTAGTACTATAAACTGTGGATCAGATGCTAATATTAAAGAAATACTCTGTAGAAAAAAGGTTTCAACCTGAATTAATATATGTACTAACTATTAATATAGAATAAATGTTATATTGGCTCATGCTTATTTTATTCACCTAAATCTTTTAAGAGAAATGTGGTGTATTATGTTTATTTCCTAAAAGTATAAAGATCGTACTGATGAAACTATTGAGTTAGCATTACCAGGGGTTCTGCTCTGCTGGTTGGGTGTTGGACAGATTTTACAATGATCTGCCTAAAAGAGCCCACCTGTAGGGGCTCCTGGGTGGCTCACAGTCTGTTAAGCGGTTAAGCGTCTGACTCTTGGTTTTGGCTCAGGTCATGATCTCACAGTTTGTGTGTTCGACCCCTGTATCATGCTCCGCACTTTGTGGAGCCTGCTTAGAATTTTCTGTCTCTCTGCCCCTCCTCTGCTCATGTGTTCTCTCTCTCTCTCTCTCTCAATCAAAATAAATAAATAAACTTAAAAAACAGAGCCCACCTACAGCAAAGAGAAACACAAACACCTCAAACTTGAATCCAATTTTAGTGAACTATCAATCCATCTAAAGGGCATTTCTGACTTTGATGCCATCTGTAAATGTGGCAAAAGTGCACTTGTTTTCATCCTCTCTTGCTATACTCAGTTGTTTTTCTACATTATATTAACCTAATAATTGTTAGTAATCTTTATGGTTTTCCAAATAATTAAGCAATCTTGATATGAAAATGCTTAAGTAATTCAAATGCTGCTGCTAAAACTGGGTGTTTCAAAAGTTCTATGTTTACAGGGACACTGATTATATTCCCCTAACATTGACAACCCTGGTTTTCCTAAAGCACAGTACAGTGGTAACAACTGGGCTTCTATTAAAGATCGTCCTTTCTAAATCTCGGGACCGGTTTAAAGTCGACTGTATCTGGGGCACTTGGCTGGCTCAGTCAGTAGAGCATGTGATTCTTGATCTCAGGGCCGTGAGTTTGAGTCCCATATTGGGTGTGGAGATTACTTAAAAAAGAAAATAGAGTGGATAGTGTCCTAAAACTAAAATGTGTTCTGAAGCAAAATGTCTTAATAGTGTACAGACCCTGTATATAGGGCATTTTGCAGAATTAAAAAATTCTTATTATATCACAATTCTATTGCAAAAGAAAGATTTACAAGACTTGTTTTCACAGGCAATTCTGTGACTCTTTTTTTAGACCCACCATTACTGCTGAATTCTGGACTCCCTGACCCCTTTGTGAGTGCCTACTGCCCTCCTCCCCCGCCACCGCCGCTGAAAGCTTGAGATCATGAGAGGTTGAGTTTCTGAGAGTGAGTACAGACAGTCCCCAACTTACATTGTTCAACTAAGGATTTAACTTCATTGGGACAGTGAGGGGCCAAGGGCCTTTTTTTAAAGTAGGCTTTACATCCAACATGGAGCCCAACACAGGGCTTTGAATTCATGACCCTGAGATCAAGAGTTGGACACTTAGCCAATTGAGCCACCCAGGTACCCTGATTTTTTTGACTTTATGATCATGTGCAAGAAATATGCAGTCGGTAGAAACCATGCTTGGAATTTTGGATTTTGATATTCCCTAGACTAACACTAGTATGATCCTCCGTCATGGTGCTAGGCGGCAACAGCCACAATTCACATTCAGCCATGTGATCATGAGGGTCAATAACTGGTACACTTAATTTCTCTCCCCATACAACCATTGTTTTTCACCTCCAGTACAGTACTCAATAAATTACATGAAATATTCAATACTTTATTATAAAATAGGCTTTTTGTTAGATGATTTTTCCCAAAGTAGGCTAATGTATGTGTTCTGACCTATGGTCAGGGTAACTAGGCTAAGCTATGATGTTCCATGCGTTAAGTGTATTAAATGTATTTTCAGCTTACAATGGGTTTATTTGGACATAAGCCCATCACAAACTGAGGAAGATTATATGTATTTGTACATGAGCACACTATATATCCACAGAAAATCCTCAGCAAATCTGGG